CAGACTCTCGTGGGCACTCACATGATCTAACCGGATTTTAGAAAACATGCTTGAGGTTTGGGAGAGAAGCAGGATGGGGTCTCTCCACTTCTTCCTGTTGTTGCTTTCTCGGGGGATGAAGTTCCAAAGTCAGCAATTAAGGGGGAACGGCCTAGAGTCAAAAGGACGCTCACCAGACCTTTCAGTTACACCTAGCGTATATCCGTGTGGTTTTCTCTGTATGCAACCCCGAGCAGCCATTCTTCTGCATGGTGACGTTTGAGAACCTCCGAGCTCAGCTGAAAGGAGAAAGTCAGCATGCATCCCTTCACATGGATCAGAAAATCCCTAGGGCAGAGTGGGATGCTAACAGAAACCCAAGTTCTTGGAAATCAACACCTAGAATTGTGGGATGAACAACGCTAGGAGGCGGCATTGGCTTCTGCAGTTGTTACTCCCCGATAGTAGGTGCAGAAAACACTCCTTTCCTGTTCTTCTCTGCCATTGGTATATACTAGGGGTTGGTACACGAAGTCTCGGGCCAGTTGGTAATTGGTCTGTTCAAATCTAGCCCTCTGGCCTGTTGTGGTAAAGTTTTATTGGCACACAGCCCTGGCCATTTGCTCACATGCCGTCTGTGGCTGCTTTCACACCAGAACGGCAGAGCTGAGCAGTTGAGTAAAGGGCCATCTAGCCACCAGCCCTGAAAATATTTTTATCTGGCCTTTTATAGACAAAGTTTGGGGATCCCTCGTATTTTCTTTCTATGCCTACAGCCATTTATTAGAATAGTTACACAGTTTTCTCTTTAAAACTCCAAAAAATCAAATAAGAAAAGAATAATTGTAAATACTTAACATCTGTCAGTTTTTTCCTTTCCTGGTTTCAGCATTAGGTGTCAGGCTTAGAAATCACCCTGAGGTTCATCAGTGTTTTCAGCACAAAGCCTCGCTCTAAGGGTGACAAGAGGTCAGGGGTGCTTGTGGTAGAGTCAACACCATCGGCCTCAATCGTGTTCTGAGAAAGTGATGCTTGGTGACCGCCCTAACCACTCAGCACATGGCCTCTGCTGTGCACTTACAGGTTGCCCTTACCTTTCTCTCTCTCTCTCTCTCTCTCTCTCTCACACACACACACACACACAATACTGAGGACTCCAGGGTCACAGAGGAAAGATGATGACTACTGAACTTAGTAGCACAGTCTCTTTGTCAATTGTGTAGCCACATAGTGTTCAGGTTGATAGAGGGGTCCTGAGTTTTAATCCTGATCCCATCACCTTGTCTGGCTGGTGACTGCCTATCTCCACCTATAAAACAAGGATTATATTACTAGGTATGGTGCAAGAAAAACCTAGCATTTATTATAGTGCCTGATGCATAGCTAACCTTCAATAAATACAAATGGCTTACATTCTCTTGTAGAGAAAAGGCTCCAGACAAGTAATAGACTGGTAACCCATTTGTCAGTTGGGTGACAGAGGAAAATCAGCTTCCCCAGACCAAATGACCTAGGCTGATAGTATGGGATCCCCATGGGGGAGCTGAGATACATGCATTAGGTACCTGCTGTGTGCAGGGGATGCAGGTAATTAACCTGGCCCAGGAGTTTATGAGCAAAGCATTTTGAGAATTCAAGATTTGATTTTGGAGGGAGGGCTGGCCCAAGGGTAGGAGTGGGAGGTGGCTTCCATGAAAAGGTGGCTTCGGAACAGGGGCAGAAGGGAAGTTAGGGTTGGGACAAGGAGAGGGACTATTTGGAGAAATGCATGTGGCCCAGTTTGAGAAGAGGGGCGAGGAAAGATAGAGATTGGCATAGGACGGATGCTCAAAACACTTACTGAATGAATGAAACGTAGAGGGCTGACACAGAATCCAGCACTCAGACCTCAGTCAGAGCTGAGGACCAAGCCCACAGTGGGTCAGTATGACCTGAGGCTGCTTAACGAGAAAAGGGAAGCGCAGAAAGGGGTTCAGTGTCAGCAAGCACTTCCTATGCCCTGAAACCCTTTTGTTCAACAAGAACTTGAACAAAACCCCAGCTGGTGAATTGCAGGAACCTATGAATGGAGAAGATGGAGGGGAGAGTGCCACCGAGGGGGGCTAGGGGTGTGCACTGCAGAGCCCAGGCGGCCTTCCCGGAGGAGAGGGAGCAGAGCCCTGAATGGAGGAGTGAGGAGAAAGGCCTTGGGGGCCGGGGGTGGGGTGGGCAGCCAGGACAGAGGCCTAGGGGGTGCGGGTGGAAGCCCACGTGGCAGAGCAGTGGCAGGAGCTGAGGGGGGAAGGGAGCTGGCACCAGATTGCAGGTGGGGCCTGGAGCGAGGGAGTGAGGCCAGGGCCCGAGAATGAGCTGCTACAGGGCAGCCAGGAGCCCCCTTCCCCATGAGGACAGAAGCTGGGGAAGGACCATGGGAGGGGTTTCATGGTGGGTGCCAGGGAACTGCTTCAAATGGCAGGGTGGCCTCGCTCACTCTTCTTCCTTCCCCCGATACCCTTGGCTGCGAAGGGACACCTCCTGCAGGCCGGACACCCGGCTCTGGAGGAAGCGGTGGAGCAGAGACCCTGTCAGCTCCCAGACAGACGGGGCTGCGCTGCCCTTGCCGCCACCCAGCTGGCACTTCTGCTACAGAACTTTCTCCTTATTCGCAGCCAGGAGAGCAAGCTCTGAGGTTTGAGCAAGAGAAGGTTCCTCTACCCAGAGAGAGGTTTCTGTGGGGTTTGAGCAGGCCTCCCTTCGGGACCTGAGAACACAGCTGCCTCCCCACACCCCCAAGAAGGGCTAAGCACATGGTGTCCAGAGTTTTTCCAGACGCAGCTATTAGCTTTTCTACCTGAAAGTAGCTCCCAGAAAGCAGGGGGACAGCCACTCCTGCCTCCTTGACGCATCTCCTGCCTTCCATCCCACCCGGGCCCCTGCCTTCTGAGAAGGGAAACGACCCTTTAGTGAGGGCCACAGTGCCAGCCTCGCTGCCTCCCAGATATTTTTAGAAAGCCGAGGCTATGGAACATTTCCATTAAGGATCGACTCCCCTGGTTTCCTAGATTGAGAAAACAGGAAGCCCTTCAGAATCCGGGCTTTGAAAAGCTTTGCATGAAGCTGCGCTGACCCCACCTCCGCCCTGGCACTCTGCTTTCACTCCTGCCTCCCTGCTTACCAGGCCCCGGCAGGGGTCACAGAAGGGTGGGCCTGTGGGGGTGGCCAGTCTTCCTTGGGTTCCTGCTTGAGGGCTCCTGGGAAGCAGCTAAGCTGGTGCCTGGTATACAGTAAGTGCCCAATTAATGTTGGTTCACTCAATCTGAATTCATCTTCTGAGTCACTCCCAATAGATCCACTTCCACAGTTTGCTGTTCTGATGTACACATTCACACACACCGCTACCCATCCAATACGTGTGTCTAGCGCACACCATGCTACCAACACCTGCCATACACGAGGCACGCTACTATTTTCATCACTTGCAAGAGCTTATCTAAGCTCCTCCACAGCCCTAGAAGGAAGGTGACTTTTATAAACGATTTGCAGACAGGGAGACTGAGGCAAGGTTTAGCAAACGAGGCAGCAGTAAAGATGGGATTCGAAGCCTGGAGCTGTCTGGCTGCAGGACCCAAATGCCCACCTGGTCCCTGAAGAGCAGAGAGCAGTGGTCGCCCAGTCTCTAGCACAAAACAAAACCCACTGGCACCAGGCACGTGTTCCCACAGCCCAGGGCTAGTGAGATCGCAGCTACCGGCGCTTACCAGGCAGGGCCCAGGAGCTTGTGTGGGCCTCAACGCCTAACAGGACTAATCGGGACATGCTGCTGGTCTCGTCCTCTGTAAAAGGGAAAGCATGAAGCACAGAGAGGTAAAGTCCCGCCGCCTGGGAGCGGGGGTCTGAAGGTCAGACTTGCCTCTGGTGGCTCTAAGGCAGTGGATGTCCACATTCCTCGCATGTCAGGGCTGGCGGACTTGTCCACGCAGGGGTCTTCTGGGGAAGGCAGCCTGGCCCTAGGAGGGCCCTAGGAGGGCTCAGCTCGAACTTGGGGAGAGTAGGAGCAAGTCTCCACCATTTGAGATGGAAAAGCAAGATGAAGATGAAACAGCCTGGAGGAGGAGGCGGAGAAGGGCTGCAGGGGACCCTGGGTGACCTTCCCTGGAAGCCAAGAGGGGCCTCCCTCCTCTCCTCTCCTGCCTCTGGAACCAGTCAGCTGCCCCGCGGCCCACAAGGCGGTGGATACACCCCTCAGGGCAGGCACACACCTCTCCCTTGGGTCTGGGCTGCCACCGAGAGCCACTTTTTACCAAGAACATCAAAGGAAGCCTGTGTCCCAGCTCCACCTTCTCAGACCTTTGCTGTCTTGTCTACAGGGACCAGGGCCCTGGACAAGGGACCCAAGATGGGAAGAGAGAACCAGCTCCTTGATGCCAGGGGTGGGCATCCCACCATCCCCTGGTTCCCTGCTAGGCATTACACAGTCCTTCTGCGGGAGGGGGTGACCGAATTTTCCAGACCCCTGGGAGGCCCTTCCCCACTTCAGAAGACTCCCCGTGTGATCCTTCCCCAGTGGGGGGGGGGGGGACATTCCTGGTTGTGCCGAGAGGGATGGTCTACCCTGATGGCTAGCCTTAGTGGAATTCCTAGCTGCTTTTCTAAAAGGTCGCCTGCTTTGTGGGTCAACTATGGTTTCGTCACATAGTAGGTATTTTCTGGATGCTACAATAGGGGTGGTCGGCAGAGAGACGGAACATCGTGAGAACCCGCCCTCTGGCCCAGCTCTATTTCTGCCAGGATTTGTAAAAGTTACCTTCACTAACGCCGGTAGCACCAAGTATTATCATCCGGGGGGGAAAAAAAGAGCAGAGGAAGGCATGTCTCATGTTAAGAATCGTCCAGAGGTTTTATCCGAACCTAAGCGCATTTTACAAAACAGCCCCATTGCTGTTAGGTTCTAGAAAGCTAATCTGATCCGTGTTGTTGGCGCCCGCTCACTCGCCCCTTCTCTCTCTCTCTCTCTCCCTTTCTCTTTCTCTTTTCTCTTGTAGTTAATGAAATTATCAGGAAGGAGTTTTCAGGACCTCCCGCCAGAAATCAGACGTAGAAGATGCCATTAGCAAGACACCTTCCGTATCTGACCCCCTGGAGCCTTCCACTGCCCTCACCTCTGTTTCCTTTCCTGTTACATCTCCCGGCCCGGAGGCCACCCGCGGGACACGGTTGTGGCAGAAAGCTGACTCGATTCAGGAGCTCGCCACCTCTCGGTGTCCACACCAGAGAGAACACTCTGCCTTTTGATTTGTGTCTTAAATCCCAGAGAGCATCTCGGTTGACTTTCATGGTGTCCCGTCCAAACCTTAAGTGCCTGCTGACCAAAACCACATTCTGAACAAGACAGCGCGCTGGAGCGGCCCTGAGGACGGCGAGAGCGGAGCTGGGGGCGCGGGCTGGGGTGGGGGAATGGAAGACGTGGGCCCCGTGATTAAACCCCAGCCCTGCCTTCATTTTTCCAGGTCACAGATACAGCTCCTGTACCTTTTGAAGGAAAGGAGTTTTCACACAGAGCCACCAAAGGAATGTGACCCGAGAGCCTGGCTTCCAGGCCGAAGCAAAACAGCCGGACTGTCACCCTTAGGGACCGACTGCCTCTCCCAGGCCGTGGTCGGGCCACGGCTCCAGCCTTATTTTTTGGTTTTCTCCTGAAGCAAAAACGCTCTGGCCCCCCACGACATTACCTGTTCAAACTCAGCGTTAAGTTATGACATGTGTCCACGCTTTTATGTTGGTCTCCGCTGCAAAAAGCTGGCCACGGGTGGCTGGAGGAGGAGCTCTCGGGGCCAGCTGCCCGTCACCCCTGCAGCCAGCCGTGGGGACTGGAAGCAGGGACCCCGGGCCCTGGAGCGAGCGCCCGTCTTCCGCAGCCCTGCAACCCAATGGCTTTCTGCTAAGTCTCGCTTGCCTTCTTCCTAGCGGCCAGACTGCTTTTCCATAAACTAGTGAAGGAGAATCTCCAGCATGTGCATTGAATGTTGAGAAGGAATCGTAGAAGAGCTACAGCAAGCAAAAGAAAAAAAGAAAAAAAAATCAAACAGCACAGGTATTTTTTGTGAAGTGTGAAATGAGGCAACTGGCAGGCCTAAGTGTTTCTCTGAGTGGGTTCCCCCACGACAAGGGGTGGATTCCTTCTCTCTGGCCTAGACTTAAAGTGAGACAACAAGCTCAGGCTTTAGCCCCAAAGTTCATTGGTTATTATTATTTTTTTAACCTGCACCCTTTTAAAGCGCCCCCGCCCCAAGACCTGTCTGCATTAGCTGCTGCTTCTGCATCGAAGAGAATCAGCCCACGTGCATCCCTCACTTGGAAGGAGCTCTGCCCAGACTGGTCATATGGGGATCTTCTCCCCACTTGTCTCCCCTGCACACACCGAGTCCTCAAGAGTCTTCCTCCTTTGGTGCAGTTTTTGCAAACACACAAAACTCTCAAAAGTTGCCCACAGGGGCGGTTCTCATCACACAGAGGTGTTCCTGTTTGCATTTATTGCGGGCACCCCGGGACAAGCCAGGGATTCCTTTTCCGCCATTCGGTTTCTTCCCCAGTAAATCAGCACAGAATGTAAATATTCCTGGCTCTCTTCGGAAGGCTCCACTTAGGGATTTATTTCTCAGTCTGCAAATCTGCCAGGTAGGAGCCCAGGAAGAGAATCGTGGCCGTTAAGGGCTCGCTGTGGGTTTTCCAAGTCCTGGCTTTCTCGTCAAGGTGACATAGAGGTTAAACCTTGCTCATAGCTTGACCAGGAGCCTGAGGCTCGGTGACTACGGCCCAGTGGTGGGCCTGGTGCTCCAGAGAGAGGACCGGACACCCCCGGCTGTGACCTTTCAATCAAGACCTAGCTTTTATTTTCCCCCAACAGCTGGGGACCTCTCTTCAAGCACAAAGTTTGGCAAAATCCTCTTCCATACAAAATGCCAGTAAGAACTTGTCATTGCAGAGCTTGTGGGATGTGAAATTCTTCCTAATAAAAAGACTCCTTATACCAGCAGCTTTACCTAAAGCATTCTCTCTCCAGCAATATTGACTTTCCTGGGGAAGAGTTTAAGTGTTTGGTGAGTGATCTGGTCTCACTTGACCTGGCTAGGAACCTTTTTTTTTTTTTTTTTTTTGCACATGAGGGAACTTGGCCTTTCCTTGGTTATCTGAATGTTCTCCCCAAGTGCCTTCCTGCTATTGTAGCAAACTTGCTCTGCTTCATCGTACATGGATGGGCCGAACAAGGGCTAACGTGTTTTCCATCAGTCTTCTGTCGGTGAACAGGGCCTCCCGCTAGTTCAGACACTTGTACAGATCCACATATGTACGTGTGTGTGTGTGTGTGTGTCTAATGCACACACAAGCTTTTTCTAAGACCTCCTAGCTGGATAGTAGAGGAAGCACTTTCATAAACAACTCTACCGAATAACAAAGGAAAGAGAAACCAAAGCATTAGTTTGAGACCTAAACAGGTAAGAGAATGTGTATCAGGAGCCGACAGCTATCAAGAAAGTTGGGTCGGTAACAATTGCCAGGAGGAAGTTTTGCCAAGAGGAATTGCTCATGAAATATTTTTTTCAGTCTGGGAAGAGGCAATAAGATCCTCTAAGAGAAGGAGAAAATAAGGATGTCTAAGTGGTAAAGATGTGTGTGTTGCACGTGATAGAAGGATCTCAGGTCGAGGTTTGCACTTGCTACATCCAAGGTAATGTAAATATGTAGCACTGCCAACAGGAATCTACCGTGTTGCTGAATGTAGTATATTTCCAAAGTTTGCAAGTCTTCCTGTATTGTACAAAAATACTGCTGCTTGATAATATATAAGAGCGATCCAAATTAGTAGGTTATTAAATTTTATTTTCTTATCTGTATTTTTATGCTTTTTATCTGTCCTGAAGATATCACACAACACCCCCTGTTGGAATCAGAAAATATTTATAAATGGTTGAAATCTTTTTCAAGTGTTACTTTTTACATACATTGATGATTTCTTTCCCCTAAGGGAAATGATGTATTCTTGAAATTTTGTAATTCATTCTAGCAAAAAAAAAAAAAAGAAAGAAAGAAAAAAAAAGAAAAACAACAAAAAGCAAAAACAAACCAAAGCAAAACACAAAAACCCACCTCCGAGTCTGTCGAGTCACCTGAGTCGTAGAAGAAAGTGTCTCTGGAGTAAGGGATGGATTTGTAGAAGAAGGAACCTTCTAATTGTTGCTTGAGAGGACACGGACTTCAGCTCTGAGCCTTCCTCTGGTCACGGAGGAGAATTGTGAAGTGTTGAGATCCCCCAAAGCAGTAGTCCAGGAGGTGATTTTGATTTAAAAACAAAACTGCCTGTGTTGTGATGGGATTCTGGAAAATGTTCACAGAACCCTAAGGGCAGGCTCATGTTTACAGAGCTGACCAAATCCTGGTAGGTAACCCCCATACGCATTATCTAAAGGACCTGCAGAGTTTTCCAGCATAGACACACCCTAGATGAATCAGATTGATTCCTTCTAGAAACTGGGAAGCACTGATGTGGCCTTTCTTGTTTACATCCAGTAGCCAAGACGTGGGTCTCAGGAAGCCAGCCTTGGCCAGTGTGGGAGCTGTCACATTTAGATTGGAAGCTGATGTGTTCTACTTGTCACTCTGAACTAAAGGGAGGGCTGAATGTGTTTATTTTCATGTCAAACACTTTCCAAGTGCTTTCTATTTACCAGAATTGAAAGACTGTCAGAGGTCCGACTAACAGTTTTTGTTCATGTTTACAAGAGGCATTGGGGGTTGTGACACTCTTGATAAGCTGGGCTACACTTTCCTGCACTCATTTTTTTGGAGGGCTAACCCTTTAGCAGGTACCACCCAACACATCCTAACCTCCCATCTCCCAAGCCTGGAGCTTGGGCAATAAATCTCATGGAGCCAAAGCAGCCAATGCAAGTGTTTTCCTGCATTCCAGCTACAGAAGGATCACACAGAACCGGGACTGCAAACATCAATTACCCTCAGCTTTCAGGAGTACCTGGAGTTACAACCACCATCACCATCTTAACTCAGTTTGTTTAAAAACAAACGTTTCTGTGATTGGTAAGCTAGAGATGGTCCCTAAAGCAAGCCCCTCTGAAAACGAGATGGGGTGCTGGGTGCTGGAAAAAAATCATTTAACACTCTGCCTTGATGCGGCTGTTAGCAGACCAAACGCCTGCCTGGTTCAGGGTTTGGATGCAAAGGCCACTGTTTCCAGCAGAGCAGGTGCCTTCAGCATTGCGATTGGCTCGAGCAGACAGAGGCTTTGGTTAGAACAAGCTTAGCATCCTGAGCATCTTGTTAAAGAACCTTCCTTACTCCCATTGCCTCTACAGCCCTTAGAGGGGAGAAATGTTGACAACACCCTAATTAGTTCTCTAACAAATAGAAAGAATGCTCTCCAACGGGGTGGTGCTAGAAGGCTTAGGATTTTCGAAATCTTGACTGTTAAAGAAGTTTGAATACATCACATTCCTATGCAAAATGTTTTTAATCTCCAGTTTAATGTAGTTTATTTTTGCTATATGTAAAGTATTTTTATACGGCTTGTATCATGATAGTTTAGCAATAAAACAGTTGAAAGCAACAGCTGCTTTGGTGTATCTTTTCTTCTCTAGAGAGGCTGTTCAAATTTACCCTTTACGTTTTGAGTTCATACAAGGAAATTGTGTTTGTGTGTGCGTGCGTGTGCATGCACATTCTCGGAATATGTTCAATCCTCAGCTCAGCCCCAGGAGGTAGACGTGATCCATTTTACATCTAACACTGGGGTGCAGAAGCCACTTGTCCAAAGCCACAGAGCCACGAGGTCATCCTGGCTTTGCCCATTTCTCTCCCAGCTCCCCCCACTGCAGCTGTGCTATACTCTGTCTCTATACCTGTTTAGAAGTAGCATCTAGGTAAAGAGTGATAATGTCCACCTTGGGCCAGCTCACCGAGGCTTTCAGAGCATTCATAGCCAGCCAGGCTGAGCTGGTCACTTGAAAGGAAAAGCAGTTATTTGCTTAAACATTTTACACAATTAAAAAAAAATCTCTCTTACCAAACCCACAAGCATAATTAGATATTGTAAATACTAGAACTTTCCAGCTGACTTCTCCATTACAACAGCTTTTCTTCCTTGGGCCCTTTCGTTATCAGAGGTTTGAAAATAATCACTATGTAAGTCTTAATATTGTTCAAACTTCATCCCCTGGTCAGCACTACCTTTAAGCCCCAGGGAAGCAGGATCCCTGCCCCAGGTGCTGTGCTTCATGACCACTCTACCATGCCATGGCCCTCCTTTGGGGTGCTTTCTTAGACTTTCCAAGTCCCCCTTCCAGTACCTGGAAGCAGCAGTACCATATGGTGGGGTGTCCCAAGCACATGCAGGACCCTGCATGGGTTCTGGCTACTGGAAGCTAGATCCCCTCTAGTGGCCAGAACCAGCTGGTTCCCATTTCTTCTCTTCAGAGCACAAGGTCAACCAGATACCCCAGAGAGCTCTAGAATCCACACCTATGGGGCCACCTGGTTTCTAGATGACCTCCTGGTAGAAGAGTTGAATTTTTTTTTGTGGGATCATGTGAAATTGGGTCACCATAATGGTGCTGAAACAGTGATTTGAGGAAGTCCCCAAATTGCTTATGTAGACAGGATCCCCATAAAAACAGTTTGCCCAGGCCCGCACACTCTATGGGTACTTCTGCCCTCTTACAGCTTCTGCTGTAGCTGGGTTCACCGGCTGTCTTTAAATGAACTAACTTCCTGAAAACTTTATACTGCTTTTCCTGAATAGAAACCCCGTCATCTCAGGCAGAGGACATGGATAAAACCATACAGCCCTTTAAAAAATAAATCTGTGTTCTGTATTTATATCTGAGTCACACTTGGAAAACGCCAGTCAACCTGTGCCTCAGTTTCCCTAGATGTAAAATGAGGATATGAATAGGCCCTGCATCATAGGTATTGTTAATACTGTTAACAATAATTAGCCACTGATAAAATATCCCAGCGCCTGGCAAATTTAAGATTCACCTAAAGTTAGACTTTGTCTTCCTAATACCAGGAAGGCAGCATTCAGAGCTCTGACAATAGGTCAGCTTTTCACAAGAAATTTCTAAAGCCAAAAACTTGAGCTTATCCAATTTTCAAGTCCTGAAACAAAAGGGAAACTCCCAGGGGCATCTTCTCTGCATCAGGGCAACTTGGCAGATCCGTGAAGGTCTCTTCCTACACGTGAAAGCATGATGGAGTTTTGTACTAAGGAGTAAAACCACAACACTGGGGGGCAGCTGGGGGGGCTCAGTGTTGAGCATATGCCTTCGGCTCAGGTCGTGATCCCCAGGGTCCTGGGATCAAGTCCCACATCAGGCTCCCCGCAGGGAGCCTGCTTCTCCCTCTGCCTGTGTCTCTGCCTCTCTCTGTGTGTCTCTCATGAATAAATAAATAAAATCTTTAAAAAATGTATTAAAAGAAACCCACAACACTGGTTTAGTAACAAGTGGAAATATTAAGAAGCAGTAAGACAAGAGCCAACAAAATGCTGACTACACTATTTTCAGGTTCACAAAATAGGAAGGAAACTGATTTCTTGGGAGGAGTGGGTTGAATAGGAAATAATCCCAAGAAGGAGGCATAACCACAGAGACCATTAAGAAATGAAGGCCGGGGCGCCTGAGGGCTCAGGTGGTGAAGCATCTGCCTTTGGCTCACGTCATAATCCCACGTCCTGGGATCGAGTCCCTCACTGGGCTCCCTGCTCAGTGGGGAGTCTGTTTCTCCTCCTTTCTCTGTCAGATAAATAAAATCTTAGAAAAGGAATGAAGGCCAGACTTTTGAGGAAGATGGCAGAGCAGGAAGCCCTAAGCTCACCTTGTCCCACAGATACGAGGCAACAGCCACATCAGGTACATGGCCCAGAACCCGGCATGATGGCCACCAGAAAGGAGAGAAAAGGCCACATCAGAGGGCAGGAAGGGCAGAGACAGGGTTGGGAGCTAAACAGACCCTCGGGGCTGTCCCCTGGAGGGACGCCACAAGTGTACAGAGGGGGGAGAAACTATTCTTAGACTGGGAAGCCTGTATGAGAAAGACAAATCCTCATACCATTGGGCTTTGAAAATTGTGGGGGTGCGGGGCACATTTCAGGGCTTAAAACCTGAAACTTTAAAAATCAACAGGCTCTGGCAGAGGTGGGAGGGAGAGGAAGCTGCGTCCTTGACCTTGAAGAGACAGCACAACAAACAGCCTGTGGATGTAAAGTACAGAGGCAGCAGTTTGAAAATTGCCTATGGAATAGGGGAGGGAGATTGCTTTACTAATCCCAGAGCAGTGCTGGAGGGGCAGGGACACTGCTCTAGGAACAAAGGAGCTGGCGGCAGGTGCCGCTTTCCTCCCCCTGCCCCCTGCCTAGACACCTAACAGGAAACAGCAAGGCCAAAGCAACCCCTACCTAACTCGCTAACAGCAAGCCCTGCCCCTGTGTTATCTTGTGGGCACCCCCCCCCCACCAGGCCTCCACCCTAGGTCTCCTCCATGGCAGACTCCTGCAAACCTTGCTTCCCACGTCCTACCTGCTTCTGGGGATTTGCCTCCTCCAGCCCTGCCTGCTGTAGTGAGGGGCTACAGGTCCCCTTTCCCTGGTGTGGACCTTGCTGGTACCACGTGCCCCGTCCCCACATTCTCCTGCAGTTGGGTGCTACCCTGTCTCCAGCAAACACCTGGTCTGACTCAGCTCAAGCTCAAGGCAGCCCCAGATGGGTCCATTAATAACAGACACCAATCCCTTCCCACAGCAGGCAAAAGGAGCCATTGCAGATGACTAGACTGAAGGCAAAAGCAGCTCAGCCACAATAGGGAGCATGGAACACACATAGGAGACACCCCAGAGGCATGAAGTTCCAGTGAACAGGGAACATTCAACTGTGAGGCACTATAGAATCTCTTCTTCATAAGGCCACTACTTTCAAGAATAGGATACCTAGCTGACTTTCCTAACACATAGAAACAGACAGAGGGGCACCTGGGTGGCTCAGTTGATTTTGGCTCAGGTCGTGATCTCAGGGTCATGGGATTGGGCCCCACATCAGGCTTCACACTCACCAGGGAATCTACTGGAGATTCTCTGCCTCTCCCCTGTTCTCTCCTCTAAAATAAATAAATCTTGTTTTAAAAAGAAGAGAAACAGATACATAGAGTTAGACAAAATGAGGAGACAGAGGAATAGGTCCCAAATGAAAGAACAAGGCAAAACACAGCAGGAGACTGAAGTGAAATGGAGATTAGTAATATGCCTGATAGAGAATTTAAAGTAATGGTAATAAAGATACTCACTGGACTTGAGAAGAGTGGAGGACCTCAGTGGGACCCTTAGCAAGGAGAGAGGAAACATACAAAACCAATCAGAGACCATCAACTCATTGACTAAACTGAAAATACACTAGAGGGAATACATGGTAGACTAGAGGAACCAGAAGAATGAACCAGTGACCCAGAGGGCAGAGTAATGAAAAGCAATCAAGCTAAACAGGAAAGAGAAAAAATAATAAGTGAAAAAAGACTTAGGGACTTCAGCAACATCATCAAGTGTAATAACATTCACATTATGGGATCCCAGAAGGAGAAAAGAGAAAAGGGGTCAGAAAGTTTATCTGAGGAAATAATAGCTAAAAATTTTCCAAAGCTGGAGAAGGAAATGGAAATTCAGATCCAGGAGGCACAGAGAGCCCCCAACAAAAAAACAAACAAACAACAACAACAATCAACCCAAGGAGGTCCACACCAAGACACACAGTAATTAAAATGACAAAAAGTAGAGATAAAAAGCAATTTAAAAGCAGCAAGAGAAAAGAAAGCAGTCACATACAAGGGAAACCCCATTAGGCTTTCAGCTGATTTTTGAGCAGAACCTTTTCAGGCCAGAAGGGAGTGGCATGATATATTCAAAGTGCTAAAAGGGTAAAATCAGCAGCCAAGTGTACTCTGCAGCAAGGCCATCATTCAGAATAGAAAGAGAGATAGAGTTTCCCAAACATTAAAGGAATTCATGACCACTAAACTAGCCCTTCAAGAAATGTTAAAGGGGACTCCGAGTGGAAGGGAAAAACTGTAAGTAGGAGTAAGAAAAGCAGGAAACACTTAGGGTGACTGAATGGATTTTTTAAAAGCCCCACAACAATACCCATACATATGCTGCCTACAAGAGACTCATTTCAGAGATACCCCTAATGACACCTGCATATTGAAAGTGAAGAAATGGAAAAGCATTTATCACACAAATGGAAGTTGAAAAGCCAAGGAAGCAATACTTATAGTTGGACAAAATAGACTTTAAAACAAAGACTGTAACAAGAGATAAAAAACACTAATATAAAGAGGACAATTCAATAAGAAGATATAACAATTGTAAATCTTTATGTACCCAACTATGGGACAATCCAAACACAAAAAGCAGTTAATAACATAAAAGAAGTAATCAACAGTAATACAGTAAGAGTAAGGGACTTTAACACCCCACCTACAACAATGGATAGATCCTTCAAACAGAAAACCAATAAGGAAATAGTGGTTTTGAATAATACATTGGACAGATGGACCTAA